AGTCACAATTCACTCCTAGGAATATAAGCAACTGAATTAAAAAATATTTGTCTACAAAAAACACAAGAATGTTTAAAAGAATCTTATTCATAGTGACTAACACTTAGATACAAACCAAAGGCTGTCAATATGAAATTATAACAGCAACTACTAATATGTACATGCAGCAGGCTGTTACTCAGCAATAAGAAGGATCAAATTATTATTTTTTAATTCATTAATTTACTTTTTCAAATACATTTGTCTCTGCCTACCCCCAACACCTTTCCCTTGCCCCCTCCCTCAACTCTTCCCCTTTGGTTTTGTCCATGAGTCCTTGCTGTATGTATCTTGACTTTCACATTCCCTTCCTTTCCCCCTGCCCCCCACTCCCTCCTTACCTCTTGTCGTTGGTTTCTTTTCCTTTCAGTGTTACTGGTCTCATTTTCCTTGGATTTTTGTATTGTTGGTTAGGTTCCACTTATAGGTGAGCTCATACGGTATTTGTCTTTCACCACCTGGCTTATTTCACTTAGCATAATGCTCTCCAGTTCCATCCATGCTGTAGTAAAGTTTAGTAGTTCTTTTTTTCTTTCTGCTGCATAGTATTCCATTGTGTAAATCTACCATAGTTTTTTGATCCAATCATCTACTGATGGGCATTTAGGTTGCTTCCAACACTTGGCTATTGTCAATTGTGCTGCTATGAACATTGGGGTGCATAGGTTCTTTTGAATTGGCATTTTGGGATTCTTAGGGTATAGTCCCAGCAGGGGAATTGCTGGATCCAAAGGCAGTTCCATTCTCAGCTTTTTGAGGAAATTCCACACTGCTTTCCACAGTGGCTGCACCAGTCTTCATTCCCACCAACAGTGGACTAGGGTTCCCTTTTCTCCACAGCCTCGCCAGCACCTGTTGTTTGTGGATCTGTTTATGATGGCCATTCTGACCGGTGTGAGGTGGTACCTCATGGTGGTTTTGATCTGCATCTCTCTGATGGCTAGTGATGCTGAGCATCCTTTCAAATGCCTCTGGGCCCTCTGTATCTCCTCCTTGGAAAAGCGTCTGCCAGGTCCTTTGCCCATTTTTTGATTGGATCGTTTGTCTTCTTGGAGTGGAGTCAAGTGAGTTCTTTATATATCTTGGAGATCAAACCTCTATCTGATGTATCATTAGCGAATATATTTTCCCATAGGGTTGGCTCCCTTTTCATTTTGCTAATGTTTTCTTTCGCCCTGCAGAAGCTTCTTATTTTGATGAGGTCCCACTTGTTTATTCTTTCCTTTATGTCCCTTGCTTTAGGAGACATATCAGTGAAAAAATAGCTGCGTGGGATATCTGAGAGTTTCCTGCCAATGTTCTCCTCTAGGACTTTGATGGTGTTGCGACTTATATTTAAGTCTTTTACCCATCTTGAGCTTATTTTTGTGTATGGTGTCAGCTGATGATCCAGTTTCAATTTTTTGCATGTAGCCGTCCAGCTCTCCCAACACCATTTGTTGAAAAGGCTATTATTGCTCCATTTTATGCTTCTGCCCCTTTTGTCAAATATTAGATGCCCATAGAGACCTGGGCTTATTTCTGGGCTTTCTATTCTGTTCCACTGATCTATGGATCTGTTCTAGTGCCAGTAACATATTGTTTTGAGTATAGTGGCATTGTAGTAGAGTTTGATGTCCGGTATTGTGATCCCTCCTACTTTGTTTTCTTTCTCAAAATTGCTGAGGCTACACGGGGTCATTTATGGTTCCATATAAATTTTTGAAATGTCTGTTCTATTTCTGTGAAATGTGTCATTGGTATCTTAATAGGGATTGCGTTGAATCTATAAATTGCTTTGGATAGTATGGACATTTTGTGATATTAATTCTTCCAATCCATGAGCACGGTACATGTTTCCATTTATTTGTGTCTTCCTTCATTTCTTTCTTCAATGTTGTATAGTTTTCTGAGAACAGTTCTTTTACCTCTTTGGTTAAATTTATGCCTAGGTACTTTATTTTCCTTCTTGCTATTTCGAATGGTATTTTTTCTCTGACTTCTTCTTCTATTTCATTGCTGGTGTACAAAAATGCCTGTGATTTCTGAATATTGACTTTGTATCCTTCTGTTTTGCCAAATTCACTTATTAGGTTGAGGAGTTTTTTGGTAGAGTCTACAGGGTTTTCATTGTACACTATCATGTCATCTGCAAACAATGATAGCTTTACTTCCTCCTTTCTTATTTGGATGCCCTTTATTTATTTTTCTTGTCTGACCACTGTGGCTAAGACTTCCAATACAATGTTGAAAAGAAGGGGTGAAAGCCGACATCCTTGTCATGTTCCCGATCTTACTGGAAAAGCTTTTAGTTTTTGCCCGTTGAGCATGATGTTGGCTGTAGGTTTTTCATATATGGCCTTTATTACATTGAGGAATGCCCCATTTATTCCCATTTTGCTGAGTGTTTTGATCATAAATGGGTGCTGTACCTTGTCAAATGCTTTTTCTGCGTCTATCGAGATGATCATGTGGTTTTTGTCTTTTCTTTTATTTATGTGATGTATTCCGTTTATTGACTTGTGTATATGGAACCATCCCTGCATGCCTGGGACAAATCCCACTTGATCGTGGTAGATAATCTTTTGAATGTATTGCTGGATGCGGTTTGCTAATATTTTGTTGAGGATTTTAGCATCTATGTTCATCAGCGAAATTGGCCTGTAGTTTTCTGTCTTTGTAGTGTCTTTATCTGGTTTTGGGATCAGGGTGATGCTGGCCTCTTGAAAAGAGTCTGGGAGTCTTCCCTCCTCTTGGATTTTTTGGAATAGTCTGAGAAGGACAGGGGTTAGCTCTTCCTTAAATGTTTTGTAAAATTCTCCTGTGAAACTGCCCGGCCCAGGCCTTTTGTGTGCCGGGAGTTTCTTGATTACTGCTTCAATTTCCCCAGCTGTTATCGGTCTGTTCAAGCTTTCTGTTTCCTCCTTCTTCAGTGTTGGGTGATTATACTTTTCTAAAAATTTGTCCATTTCATCCAGGTTTTCAAATTTCTTGGCATATAATTGTTCATAGTAGTTTCTGACAATCCTTTGTACTTGTGTGGTATCAGTTGTTATTTCTCCTCCTTCATTTCTGATATTATTAATTTGGGTCCTCTCTCTTTTTTCCTTGATGAGTCTGCTTAAAGGCTTGTCAATTTTATTTATCTTTTCAAAGAACTAGCTTCTGGATTGGTTGATCCTTTGAATTGTCCTTTTCGTCTCTATGTCATTCAGTTCTGCTCTAATCTTGACTATTTCCTTCCTTTTCCTTGCTCTGGGATTTATTTTTTGTTGTTTCTCCAGTTCTGGAAGTTGTGGTGTTAGGTCTTTTATTTGAAATGTTTCTATCTTTTTTAGGTAAGCGTGTATTGCTATGAACTTCCCTCTCAGGACCGCCTTTGCTGTGTCCCATAGGTTTTAGACTGTTGTCTGTTCATTTTCATTCGTTTCCAGAAATTTTTTGATTTCTTCTCTTATCTCATTATTGACCCATTCATTGTTTAATAGTGTACTGTTCAGTCTCCATGAGTTTCCAAGTTTTTGAAGTTTCTCTTTGAGGTTGATTTCCAGTTTCAAGCCCTTGTGGTCCGAGAAAATGGTTGGTATTATTTCAATTTTCCTGAACTTGCTGAGGTTTCCTTTGTCCTATCATGTGGTCTATCTTTGAAAAACTGCCATGAGCATTTGAAAAGAATATGTATTTCTCTTCTTTGGGATGTAAGGTTCTATATATGTCAGTTATGTCTCTTTGATTCTGTGTGTCATTCAGCTGCACAATATGTTTATTAATGTTTTGTTTGGAAGATCTGTCCATTTTTGACAGTGGGGTGTTGAAATCCCCTACTATCAGTGTGTTGCTGTCTATATCTTTTTTGAAGTCATCCAACAATTTCCTTATATACTTGGGAGCACCTATATTGGGAGCATATAAGTTTACAATGTTGATGTCTTTTTGATAGATTCTCCCTTTCAGTATTATGAAGTGCCCCTCTGGGTCTCTTTTTATGGCCTTTGTTTTGAACTCTATTTTGTCTTGTATAAGTACTGCAACCCCTGCCTTCTTCTCTTGCCCATTTGCTTGGAATATTTTTTTCCATACCTTTACTTTCAATCTGTGTAGGTCTTTGGCTCTTGTAGGCAGCATATGTGTGGGTCATGTTCCTTATCCATTCACCTATCCTGTGTCTCTTGATTGGGGCATTTAGTCCATTATTACTGATAGAAACTTATTCAGTTTTTTCTCTTTGTACCTGTGTTTTTCTCTTTCTCACTCTTTTCCTTCATCTTCTTAAACCAGCCCCTTTAGAATATCTTGGAGTGCTGGTTTGGTAGAGGTGTATTCTTTTAGCTTTCTTTTGTCTGGGAAACTCCCTATTTCCCTGTCTATTTTCATTGAGAGCCTTGCTGAGTAGAGCAGCCTTAGCTGTAGGCCCTTGCTTTTCATGACTTGGAATATTTGTTACCATTCCCTTCTGGCTTGTAGTGTTTCTGTTGAGAAGTCAGCTCCTAGGCATATTGAGGGCCCCCTTGTAAGTTACTTTCTGCTTCTCCGTTGCTGTCTTGAGGATTCTCTCTTTGTCTTTGATAGTTGCCATTTTAATGATGATGTGTCTTGGAGTGGACCTCCTTGGGTCCCTCTTGAGTGGGGCCCTCTGTGCCTCCTGGATTCATGAGACCTCTTCTCTCCTCAAATTAGGGAAATTTTCCATCATTACTTTTTTGAGGAGGTTCTCTATTCCTTGCTCCTCTTCTTCTCCTTCTGGTATCCCTATTATATGGATATTATTGCGTTTCAGGTTGTCCTGCATTTCCCTAAATGCCTCATCATTCTTTTTGAGTTTTTTTTTTCCATTTCTTATTCTCTCTGGGAGCTTTTTTCTACCTTATCCTCCATCTCACTGATTCAACCCTCGGCTTCATCCAGCCTGCTTTGGATTCCTTCTACTGTGTTCTTCAATTCAGAAATGGTATTCTTCATATCCTCTTGTGTCTTCTTGATAGTGTCTATGTCCTTTTCCAGGTTGCTATAGTTTGCTGTAAGATCCTGATAGTTTCTCTGCAGTTTCTCCTAGTTATCTTTGAGCTGGCTGAGCTCATTGAGCTTCCTTAGAACCATTGTTTTGAATTCAGTATCTGAGAGTTCCCTTGCCTCTATTTCATTTAGTTCTCTCTGTGGGGAGTCCCCTTTTCCACTCCTTTGGGGGGAACTTCTTTTTCTTTCCATTTTTATGAGAGTCTATTAAATTATTTATTTATTTAGTTAGTTAGTTAGTTAGTTATGCTTCTGCCTCAATTGATCCATCTAGATTTCCTGACTTTGTATATTAAACTTCTATGGTAACAGGCGGGTTCATTTATTTATTTGTTTATTTATTTATTTATTTATTTTCTTTCTTGGCCTGCCTCTGATGATGTCAGTTGTTGACCCTATATGACCTTGGGTCATTTTTTTGAGCTTTCCAGGAGTCTACTGTCTGTGTCTGACCCCTGCTTGGGGAAGCTCTGTGACCCCTTCGGCCAGGGAGCCACTATTTCTGTGAATCACTCTGCACTCTCATGCCAGTTCCTTGAGCATGCTTTCCTGTCCAGCAGGATCCCCTGCCTGCTTGGGCGCTTATTCGCCTGACCTCACTCACTCAGCTAGCGCCCTTGTCCAGTGGGCACGCCTGGACTGGTCTGTTTAGGGTCTTGTATTGTGTGCTTTCCTGACTTTTGGCTCTCTGGGGACGTTGCCTGCCTGCACAATATGGAGACTACAGAAATGGGAGGAAGTCAGCTCCAGGACTCTCTGGTTAATCCTGTCTCCAGTCCCTCCTCCAGGGTCTCTGGGCAGTTCTGTGACCCCATCAGCCAGGGATCCACTATTTCTTTGGACCACATTGTATTTGCAGGTCATCTGGCTCCCTGGCACCTGCTTCTGCCTCTTTGGGGGCACGCCCTGCCTGCCCAAAATGGAGACTATGGAATGAGGAGGGAGTCAGGACTCCCCGGTTCCTCCTCCCATTTTTTTCTCCAATGCCTCCATCTCCAGTCTCTCCTCAAGGCTTTCTATGCAGCTCTGTGACCCCTTTGGCCAGGGATCCTCTATTTCTTCTAACTTGTCTGCACTTACCACCCCCCCCAGCTCACACGCGCACAAGCTGTGTGTGGAGCGTACAAAAGGCAGGTTAATTGATTCCCTTATGCCTGAGCGAGATGGTAGCTGCAGAGTGGGAGGTGAGTTATCACCAGGGCTCCAACGGCCACCGTCTTAGTTCTCTTCACAAAGTTTTCCTCACCGATTTTTTCCCAGGCACCAGCCCACTCTGTTGCTGCCTCTACCCAGAGATCATGGAGGGTGGCTGCCACTGCAATTTTTGCATTGGCCCTTTAAGTGTCTCTTTGCATCCCCAGCCGCCTGTCTCTGGCAGTGAGTGACCCTAAGCTTTCAGGGTTGCATTTTGTCTATGTGTTTTCCTGGTTTTAGCTGCTGTAGTCTAGAGGTCCCTGTTTGTGATTCAGACCCAGTTCTTCTCAGGGGGAGCTAACTAGCCATTTCAATGTCCCTCTGGTGCTGGTGCCTGTGGGCACCCAGCTCACCCTCTTGAGCCTCCACCACACTTCTCGCCCGTTGGGATGTGTGAGAGTTGAATCCACTGTCTGTCCGCAGCTCCAAGGCCCCTCTCCTACTCTAGTTCCATTGTTTTCCAGGTGATTACTCCACTATTTAGTCACAATTCCAGTTTGGTCTTGGGAGGAGGAGGTCAGCGAGACTCCCATTCACTCCTCTGCCATCTTTTCCTTCTCAATTCAGATCAAATTATTGATACACAAGAATATAAGAAAAGGTGCTGAACAAAAAAATTTGGACTAGAAATGTTGGGAACTGTCCTTTCTGGTTTCAGGACTGTTGCCCCACTGACAGGTGAGAAGGCCCCAAGGTTGGAAATAATCAAGGAGGCCTTGAGAAAACAGGCCACTGAGGAGACAAAACCTGTCCTCCCTGGCAGAGGCATAGCTCCTGCCTCCCTCACATCACCGCTCTTGGCCCTGTGATGGCTGGTTGTCAAAGACAGGTAATATCCTTTGATGGAAGGGACAACCTAAGACAGACACAGCTGATATGGGCAGCAGGACAAAAACCTGGGGGACACAAATGGCAAAAAGGCCCGCAGTCCTCAGCTCAGCTTGAATATGAGCGGGGTCCTCATTCTATCTGAAAGAAGTCTCCTTGTTTCTTGGTGGCTCTCTCCCCTCCTACTGGCTCAGGCTTGAAACAATATGGAGACAGTCCTAAACTGGATCTGGCGGTTCCCAGGGGAAATCAGGCCTTGAAGTAAATTCATTAAAGCATGCTTTGTTTTTCCCTTAAAAGCTATGATAACCAGCTCATGCTGGGAAGAAAATTTACATTATTCACAGACCCTAACTCTAAATCCTTTGGCGCTCTCATGTTTACTAGTCTCCTCTTGGACCTATGTAAATCAGTGTGTTCCTGCCATTTGTTTTCTTCAAAACATCATCTATTCTCTGTAAACATTAACATACTGATGTAATGAAAGCACTGGTACATTACTATTACCTAGCCCCATTGATAACTTTTTCAATAAAAGCCTTTGGAAAAAGGGGCTTGGGGTCTTCTCCAGTAGAAGGAAGAGCTATACTCTGTTTCCTGGCAGACAGAGAAGTGTCTGCAATGACTTGTGTTCATTTCCCCCATCTGTGACAATCCCAGGATGGGCTCTGCCAAATTCAGAGCCTTGTTCCCTCCTCAACTGGCCCCCTGGATAGAGGACCCTTAGATCCAGGAGCCCCGCACCCTACATATTGCTCCCCATGACAAAAACAGAGAATATATTGTGAGATTCTCCTTATGTTAGTTACCACATAGGGAAATAATCAGAAAAGTGGTAGTTTCCAGGAATGGCATTGATCAAGAAGGGAACTGGACAAATTTTCTGATGTAGTGAACATGTTCTAAATCTTAAAGGTGTACATGTGGGTTAAAAAGTATATACATTTGTAAAAACCCATCTATTATACACTTAAGACTTATCCTATGTAAAACTTTCACAAAAAAAAACTGTTAATTGATTTCTCATTAGTAGTTTTGTTTTCTGAAGTTGTTTGGTTAACAATCCTAAAACATTTTTCTGTGTATGAGAGCCTTAAGCAAATTAGTAAATATGTTATGGATAGTGCATCTAGATTTTTCACTGTTAGAGAAGGAATTTACAAATATGAAAAGGAAAAAAACTATAAATGTATTAGCTATAAATTGGAGATATGAGAGAATTCATGGTTTTTAATATGTGACAGAAACATAAATATAACTGTATACATATATGCATATATTTATTATACATACTGTACTATACAATATTAGAATGTGCCCAGTGGTATTGCCTGATTGAATGAAATTGCATGTATTCACATGAAACTTACCTGTAGGTGTCTGCATGTATATCTGTCTCTATGCAAAGAAATCAAAATGTATGTATGTTTATATGTATATAGATACATATACATATAATTCCTAAGTCTGACCAATGATAATTGAGCAGTTTTATCACCCAGATCTTCACTTAATCTTAGCCAAAAGGTCAAGAAGTGATTACCCAGATCTTGATGTCCAAATATCATACTTTCCTTAAAGGACACATGGCTTTTTAGAGAAAAGACAAATTTCAAGCCTGAGGAAGGGAAAATACAAGATAAATCATAAAAATATTTTTGTATTAAAAAATAAAATACTCAAAGAAAAAGAGAATTTATCAAATGGATATGAAAGGGTCAACTTGAAAAAGCTTCCATTAGATAAATAAAACATTGAGTATTAAAATAAATAATGAAGTTAATGGATTACAATCTATTTAACAATAATAATTGATGCTGCAATTCATATATAAATACATTATGAATTGAAAATAGGCAAATATCAGGGGAAGCATAAAGGAAAAGTTCTCTATTATTAATCAGAATATCAGCTAAAATATATGAAAGTAATGGTAGAGTTATAAAATTGTCAGTAGTTTCTAGAACTAATTGGTGAATGACTTATGAAATATGACATGTACATAGTCTCAAAATACCTCTACAAAATTATTTAAATCTAAAGGGACAAATGATAAGTTTTCCTTGAAATAACATTAGCAATACTGGAAAAAAGCTTAAAAAAATCCCAGGAAATGATGTTTTAAGGACACTGTATATTACCTCTGTTACATTTCTTCTAAAGATATCATAAAACCTGAATTTAAATCAAATGACATCAGATAAGCCAAAATTGACAGGAATTTTACAGAATTATTGCCCTGTAATCTGCAAAATGTCAAAGTCCAGTAAGAACAAAAAAGGATAAATAATTGTTCCAGACTAAAGATAATCACAACTAAATTCAGAATTAATTCCTAGAATTGATTCTGACCAGGGAAATGGGAGTGAATTAGCAGTTAAGGATTTTTCTGGGACTGCTGAAAAAATGTGAACATTAGCTAAGAGTTATAGAATAGTATTGATTTTGTTAATTTTACTGTGATAATGTAAGAAATAACATTGTTTTTAGAAAATGCACAATGCAATACTAAAGGATAAATGGTCATAATATTTTAAAACTTATCTCAAATGGTTTACAAAAAGAAATTCATATGATATAGGTAATGTAACATATAATAGAAATGCATGTGATATGGATAAATAAATATAAAGAGAAAATATTAATGCAAATATAGCAAAATATAAACATTTTGTAACTCAAAAAGTACTGGAGTTTTTCATCGTTTTAATTTTTTTTCTAAGACAATATTAAAATAAAAAATTTAAAATGTGTATTAACCCTCATGGTGACTATCACACACTCATATTTGGTAGAATAAAACAGACAAATGACAAATAAGTGACAATGCTGAATGCTTCTGAGGAGGCAGAACAGCAAAAACGGTTGTCACTGGGACTGATAGCAATACAAAAATGGTAAAGCTACTTTGAAAAATAATTTGGCAGTTTATTATAAATTAAACATACACTTACCATATGAACCAG